AACTTTATGGACAGAAAAATTGAATACATCAGCATTTATAGTTAAGAGAATACTGAGATTCATGTCCTTGGAACAGGCTGTTTTCTCCCCAAAATCTGCTGTTAAATATCCATTATGCACTCCACTCAGTTTTAGTTTAAGGGTCAAGAAAGCTGCATTTTTGCCTCTATCCCTAGTTCAGCTTTTCAAATTAGCAGCAACAGAAAAAGTACCTGGCTGATGTGCATGCTGGTATCACAGGTTAGAGGTCGTGCTGAGGTCAGGTCGTTGGAGCCGAGCAAAGTTGATATTATTCCATTCTGATCCACTTTTCTGATCATGGTCCCATCAACAAAGTAGATTAACCCATTCTTGTCTATTGCTATTCCTTTAGTGAAGTGAATAAAAATTAGGTTTTTTTTTGTACTAGCAGGGAATATATTATCCATAATTAAGGGCATAAGTCATATGTGTCTAGAGGAAATTATAGGCAGAAAACCTGGTCTCAGGTAGTAGGGAGTAAAACAGCTTGTTGAGGTATATGATTGCATTTGCTGTTCATTTGCTGTTGTGTGTTGAGAAGGGCCTAGATTTTAAGTTAACCTGACACATGGGATAAATGGGGCCAAAAGCAATGCTGATTTTAAATCTTCGCCACTGCTTGCCAAACATGTAATCTAAATGAACATTTAAAAATGCTCAACAACCACACAAGTCAAATATTTCCTAAAAAAACCAACCCTAACTTGATTTTTAAAAATATCAGTCCCCTGTAGCTCTCTTCCTGGTCTTTCCAGCTGGAAAAAATTACTCAACCCCCTGATTTTTGAGCCAGCTATTGGGTTTAGTAATTAAACACAATCATGCCCCCAGTTCTGAACTTTTGTATTAAAGTTACGGAGGTGAGAACACTTTTTACCTTTAGGGCTCATGAGAGTTGCCTCTACCGCCTTGCCTCCATCACCACACCTTGCCTCGTCGAACGGTAGGCACTGCTCCCCCGTTCCTCCTATTACCTCAGCATTTTTGGTCAGATCTTTTGCACCTGTGAGTGACTTGGGCCGATAAATCCTGCGTGTGTTTGTGTCGGAAACGTACAAATCTCCCGTGACTGGGTCAGTTGCGAGGTAGTATCTGTGAGCTGGGTTGTTGCTGTAAAATGGAATTACACATTGCAGATGCTGTAAATAATTGCACCTAACAGTTGGATCACGAAGAAAAGGGTTCGGTTTATACATAGTGTGCAGAAATACAGAAACAGTTAAAGTCAATGGTGATGCTCTTTATGCATAGGTAGCACAGGTCATGGCCCCCAAACCTTTTTCACTTCCTTTCAGGACAGAAGATCCATTTTGTCTTTGATGCTCACAGGCCTGTTCAATGCTCTGCAATTAGAGACAGCTCGTCCCTCTGTAATAGGCCAAATCAAAATGCTAGAGTTTAAAACCTTCCAGGCTTTCTGGGAACCTTGATCCAGTTCCAAATTTTGCAGCAGGACCTCAGCTATTGCTTACACCTCAGGTATTGCTTACATTTTGCTGCTGTTATCCTACTTGTTGTACTGTAATTTATGTAAGGCTGCTGGGGTGCACGGTTTATATAATTCCTAACAGATAAAGCAGAGTTTGAATGATGAGTTCACAGGCAAGAGATAAGACATCATTCATAAGTATTTGCTTAATCCACTGCTTTCAAATACGTGATACGCATGATTTAACACATTAGGAAATGTCATCTTTTCCGCCAGAGCAGCGAGTGGAGCTTTGCCATTCTTCTTAACTCAGAGTCATATTTCAACTACCTGTATACATTGGCACAAAGCTGCTAACTATGCCAACACAGTCTTTATTACACTGAAAATATATATTGCTAACCATTTTCCCAGAAACATACATTTTGCCTCTCCACTGGTGCCACATAATTGAGAATTACTGTCTTTTCTCCCCTGCTGGTGAAAAAAACAGCCCTGGAGATTACCTTTTGGGTTGATATATTATGATGTAGAAACTTAACCCACTGCAGCTGGGATTCCTGACCTAATTTATGGCATGAAGAGCTGAAATAAGGTCATGTAAATACAGGAGGTAATTTCAGATGCTCCCCTCATGGATTGAAGCAGAGTGTCAGAACAGTCACTTCTGATGTTTGTAAAAGCACTGCTTAAACAGATCTACCAGTCTGGTGGTAGCCAAACATCTGTTCGCAGAATGCTATAGTTCACATTTTGTAAATACATAACTGTGCTAATGTAACACATTTTTATGTACTGCCACTTGGAAAAAGCAACAAGAGACCAACAGGAACAACTTGTGAACAAATTATGTCTTTTAGCAGGGACAGATTTTTATAGCTATCCAATTACAAAAACACAGAAAAAATGTGTTGCATAAATAGGATTTTATTTGGTTTTAAGACTTTTAACATGTTGCTTCAGAAGGAAGAAACCAAGTGAAGCAGACTAATGAAATCAAATACACAGTGATTAGCACCTCTTAAAAAGCTTTACTATAGTGCTGAGTGTTGTACAGCATGTCTGAAAACAATCAAATGTAGGCTTACTTTAAATTTCTGTCTGTTAGAAATCTATTATTGCCAATGTGCTAAATAGTTAGAAGGTATTTTCAAAACCTTAATTTACACTGAGATCATTTAATATGATCATTATGTAGTAGCAGGAATTATTTATACCTCCATAGGTTGCAAATTAAATTGTACCCATTTACATGATTACTTTGGTCTTTAAGAAACTTTGCAGGCACTTCAAGTATAAATACATTGCGAAATGTGCAATTAAATTTTATTTCATTGTAATTTAAAATAAAGTCCTTTCCTATACTACTGAAATCTAAATTAAAGTACCTCTCTTCAACCCATCTAACATTGCCTCAATCATATTTTTCAACTGTTGGAATAAGGAGTCATCAAATCAAAACCTAAGTAATTTATTCCTAACACAATTATTTCTTTCTAAAAAGAATTTTTAAAGCTCTTTTCTTCATAAATATGAAAATACTTATATGTTCTAATTAATTCCAACAAAAATGACATTGGGGGATGAGTTCTCATAGTAAGTAGTGCATCCTCATCAAAACAAAAAAATGCACCTGATAATGTAAGTGTATTTTGTCCTCGTACCAAAAAAAACCAAACCAAGTTTGGGAGTGCACAGGATATTACTATTGAGTGAATATAAATTTTCCAGCTTGCCATATGTAGACATCTAATGGTTCCTTTCTGAGGTAATACAACAGGCTTAACTTCAGCATTTCTTTTCAAGTGGAGGTTAAACAGCTGAGGCAGCTTTAGCTGATAGAAACCCCCAGTAATTCACAGGAGCAAGACATGATTTGAGGAGCTGAATAACCGTCCAGCGAAAATTACATTTGTTTTCTAGCCAGAAAGCATTCATGTGCACTATGCAGATCTCAGAAATAGTACAGGGATAAGCAGCCAGCAGCTGGAAAGCTGCACAGTTTGTGCTATTTCATTGTAGGCTGAAATGATATTAAGCTTCTGCCTTCTACCAATAACATCAAATGCAAAGAAATAAAATCCACAGTCCGTGACTTCTTGACTCATTCAGTATTGCCTAATCGCTGTCAGTAGCTCTGCAAAACATGCAGCTACATACCAACACGGGCTCCTGTAAAGACAAATGACTACAAATTAACTTGTTCTGTCTACGCCAAATAATAATAAGTGCTTTGAATTTAAAGTGTGCACACACACGCACAGAGCTGTAATGATCTATTTCCCTTCGCTTTTATCTTGCTTATGCCCATCTTTTAATTCTTCAGCAGTCAGATCACCTGCACTACTCTCCATGCACAGATCTTAAAAAAAATACTCTTCCTGCTTCAGCCCCCTGCTCTTGCCTTCACTCTGTGCCCTCTAAACTGTATACCCTCAAAGCTGTTTTTATGTTTTGCTAAACTTTTTTTCTGGCTCTCTACAGACTTGGGAGAGCGCCATAGCCTACAAACGACCTCCCTGTCTTAAAAGCCCTTATAAAAATTACTTCTTCCATGAATGCCTATCAGCATTAATCACCCACAGGCAGTAGTGTGTATAAAGACATCAGTTCAGCTTTGAGATTGAAAAAATGTTAGGTCACTGGTACATGAGAGGATAAATTTGATCTGCATTCTCTCTCTAATTTAGAGTACGGGCTCCTTGAGGTGGGAGACACATCATACTGTGCAGAAGCACTGTGTTTATAGCTGAGGAGAGCTGAGTGCTTGAATAAATAAAAGATCTGAACTAGTATTTAACCTTGTTCAGTAGTTTTACTTGGGGAATGCATATTTTAGTGTATTTTCTAAGTTCTAATACCTAGCAATTATATACTAAAAAGCGGTCTGTTGAGGGCTGTTTTCCAAACTGCAGTTTAAGTAGAAGTCTCCTCAGCAATCTGAATGTCTTCCCAGTGAAACTGGACATTTGCTCCCTTCTCCTTTTACAGGCCAGACAGACATGCTTCCCTCTGCAGCATTTCACAGGACTCTGCATAAATTCATGCAGGCAAAAGAAGATACTTAGTCTCATGATTTGTCCTTAGCTGAGAACCCCATGGCAACAGGATTTGGTGGATCCTAAAAGTTTACACATGTTAAATAAAAAGCAGCTAAATTAATAAATTAAAAGCTGCCAGGGGATATTAAGCATAAAGATCCCACTCTCAGCCTAGGAAGGCCCTGAGCAGCAAATCTCTGAGGCTACAAGTGGACACTGGGAAAATGTTGCTTGATATAAGAGAAAACTCAAACTCATAGTAGATCATGTCAGGCTGCACAGTAGGCTCCACACCTCCTGCCTACTGGCTCCACAACTGCTCCTGCAGAGCCAGTTCTCCACGGCCCTCTACATCTCCTTCTGCCTCAGGAGGACCCCCCACTTCACAGCTGCTATATGGGCCCATGCTGTTACACTAATTTGTGCAGAATGATTGCAATTTTGCTACCTGGAGCTTCTGCATGTATAGACATGAATAAAGTAGAAAAGCTTCAATATTCTCCCTCACCAACTTTTCTTACATGCAGGGATCCAGTTCCTGAAACACCACATTTGAGCCTGTGACCACAGTCCTGCCAGAGGCAGGAGGGGGTGGCACTACTAAATCATGGTCAAGCAAACCTCAATATATGTCTACTCCTTAATCCCATTTGTACATTCCACATTCCTATTTTAAGTATTATGCCGTGTTCCATACATTTGCCAAGACAATGTCTTATCCAGCTGCAATCATAACTTTGTGATACCACAAGGGATATCATTCTTTTAAGACTAGTGGAACAAATGCCACCAAACAGAAGAGACTGCCTCTGAGTCACACCTGGAAAAAACCCACAAAACCAACTAGACTGTACATAAGCTTCCAATTCTGATCATTAACACTGATGCAAACACTGTGTTTAGTCATGGAATCTTTTGCCTAACACACTTGAAACATACTTTTTAAAACGTAAGAAGGAAAGAAGCATGTCCAAAGAAAAGTGAATTTAAAGAACAAGGACAACAGAGATATGACTCTCTGGGACTTGTTTAAAAACAAGAAAGGAAAATGATTGGCAACACAAACAAGAGAAAGGAACCAGTAGGGCTGGTAAGCTGTATACTTAGCAGTTGTGCCACAAAGGTTGCAAGGTGTCATGTCTCCAACAGGATTTTAGCATGACTCTGTTTTTGTCTCCTTATCAACACCAGCTGTGGTGGCAAAGCAATTCTAAGCATCCACCTTCTCTTTGGTTCTTGCCATTATTGCAGCAATGCTGGGAGGGATGAATTTACAATCTCTCTACTGCAATCCTCTGATTACTACTGGTTCAGTAGTAACGCACCAGTATATGAGCAGTCTTGTGAGTTTTGGTGTATTTTAAAGTCTTAACTCCTGGATTTGTGTTATTATCATTTCAACGAAGCTCACCTTTAAAGAAATAATTCTGTTAAATGTGAGCCTGAAAAGACTCAACATCAAAAGGCTAATGAAATGAACTCCCTTGATACTTTTATAATTTTATTACTTACATGCCATTCTCATCGTATTTGGGGTGTCTGATTAATGAATGAGTTTTGATAGGATCAGCAAAAGTGCTGCCAGCAAGGAGTGAGCAGAGATGAGGGAACAGCAAAGGAGGGCATACACAAGCATAAAGAGAAGCGTGACTGTGGACAGAGAGTGATGAGAAAAGAGGAACTCGTATCCGAAAGGACGATACAGCCTGACAGCTGACATAACTAAAACATATGAACTCATTATTTTTGAAAAATACTCCTCTTTTCTAGTAATACATCTCAGAAATGACTTCTCCATTATAAGCATTCATTTGTTAAAAAAGAAAGAAGAACAGTTAGAAAAATATAAATCTTCTTTAAGGAATGCTTACCTATGTCTAAAATCTTTATTTCTTGGTGGGAGCAAGTAAAAAAGAACAGAAAAACATTATTAGACAAACATTCAGAAAGGATGTTAAAAGATGAGAAGAAAGCAACATTTACATCTATCATTAGTGAAGTGGTGAATGATTGTCTCTTGTCCACTCATGTCGACCACATCGGTTAACTCTTAAAATCCAAAGAATAATTAGTCCGGGTAGTTTAAATTCTCACATTAAGATAAACATAGTTAAGATATTTTAAAAGGGTAGAATGTTTTCACTTCAGCCTTGAATGCTTTTTCAAATGTTTTAAAATCTTTTGACTCAACTTTTTTTGTTCCCAAAAGGATTTGGAAACTCAAACTTACATAATGTCAGAAATCAATTCCATACTTTAATTTGCCACATTAATTCACGACTCTGAAAGTCCAGAATGAGGAAAAAAACATACCTTAGCTCCAGAACACTAGTTACGTTTCCAGATGGGAATATCCGACGAACGTAGTTGAAATCCCCCACGTACAGACTGCCATCTATCCCACAAGCTAAGGCAACCGGAGCCAGTAATTTATTACCATCAGCTTGGCCATTACAACTCGGACAGGAAATGCTGCGTCGTCTCCCATTGCCCATAATGCTACTAACAACTGGGGGTTGCTGAGATATGAATTGATTTTCACCATTTCCTTTGTAGAGGATTCCTGGAAGATAATATAAAAAAACCCAAAACAACAAAGCAAAAGTAGTTTATAAAAACTCTGAATGTATGTACATTAAATGATGCATAAGTACTCTAAATACACTTTTAGTTAATATAAATTTAATTGTTCCACCACATTTTTCTCACTGTAAGTAACAGAACTTTATTAAAACATTTAGAGTTAAGTCATAGACATGCAAGCATTAAATTATCTTGTCCACAAAATGTGTCAGAAACACTAAATATACTAGCACTTAAAACCCCAAAATGTTTTCAGTTGTTCTTATTTTTAAACGTTAATAATTTTAATAGTTATAATTCAGAATAAAAATTGCCATGCTGAAGGAAATGTAAGATGCACTGATGAAAGCAAGGCCCATGTTTCTACATTTTTACAGTTTCGAATTGCCCAGAAATGACTGGAACTTTAGACTGTGTGTTTGTCATAAAAAAAAAAACAAACCGCAAATTATGTTCCTAAATTTCTAGTGTAACTAATTATGAACATAATGTCAAATGTAATTGAAAGTGAATTACTGCTGCAAATTTCAAATATTAATTAAAGAGCCACTTCAAAAAGTTGTAGATTGCCTCAATTTTACATTGTAAAAGACTCTTTACTCAGCTCATAACAAAAATGTTCTTCTGGCAACAAAGTCTACCTCAATACCAAGTCTGCAGTTATAGGCAGTTATTAAAAATGTCAAAACAACAAAAAAAAATGTGGTGCCAGGCCAATCTGCCTCCAAAACTTAATTCTGCTTTGAGGCATGAAAGAAACAATAATTTCGTGAAGACAAAGCAATGTGCCAGCAGTATTTTTCTTCCTTATAGCCTACATAGGAAATCTGAGAGGAAAAATGCGTCCTTTATGTTAAAACTTTGATCTAAAGAAAAAAAATGTATTAAAATGTTGCCAGGACCCTCACTGTTCAATCGCACAAGGAATCCATACAGGTGTCCTCTACACTATGTCAGCTATTGTGGTGATACTTGTAAGTCACAATATGTCTTTCCGTGGTATAATCCACGTAAACCACATGTCACTTTGTACTTTGTGGTGATCTGTGTTTTACTGATTGCATCACCAGAGTTTCAAGGCATTTTGGGGCTGAGTGATACAGTTATCTTTTGAGATGTTTTGAAAAAAATTTAAGATGTATTTCTCTTTTGCTCCTCACCTCCAAAGTGCACTCTTTGTACTGAAAGGTACAAGAAAAAATACTTTGATTTCCTCTTTAAATGTTTTAAGTGTCTTCGCTGCTTTTTAATGTTATGAAATGCAAAGGATTATAAATGTAAAACCAATATACGTGATAAAACTGGAAAAAATGAAAATGGTTTATGGAAACCTAATGGCAAGTAATCTAAATCAAAAGAGAACGCATTTTTCATAAATAGTTAAAGCCAGAATGCATTAACAGTATACAAAATCCCCTCTCCTATGATTACATCATTTATGACAATCATGGCACTATAATTTTGCCTGAAATAGCTGAGTTCTACAATTTTCATCAGAGGAATTCTACAAGTCAGCACAGTGCACTACTGCACCTGATTTATTCTGTCATTACCTTGAAAAATTGGTCCTTCACATTTCTCCCCTATTATCACAGACTAAAAGATGTACGTTAGACTATTTACTGCAGTAGTTCAGGATGTCCATACAAACACTGTCTGCACTCTCTTCTGAATAAATTTATGCAGCTCATCCACCTTGTCATTACAACTCTCCACTTCGTTTATTCAATTAGACACATGCCACTTTGAAAAGTCATTACTTGTCAAATGTACACTTAAAAATAATTTAAAGCCACCATCAATTCAGCTTGTGAAAGAGTGGATCATATATATATTTATAATTGTAGCCCTTTAGATTTTTGGATGGATTACTTTACAATAATATTCCCCATTTTTTTTCTTACATTTTAAATTAGGTACAATGACACCTTTTCCCTTGATTTAGTTACCTTTTTTCCCTACCACTTAGAAGCAATGCTTGAGGTGGTGATAAACGTATCACACGAAATAAGCTTGTGTACTAGTGGGAGACCTTCAATGGAAATCAGGTAGTGCAGAAGTGATGTTCTTCCTGATGAATTACTTCTGGGCTCATCTGTTACATAAAAATCCAGTGCAACCAACTACCACCTCAAGCCATGTGACTCTGTTTATTTCATTTTCCCCACATGTTCCAGACCAATTTCACAAATTTCTTCCTGTTCAGTGCTGAACTGAGGTTTCCTTAGCCATGCAGCCTGTTGCTGAGTAGCACATTGGACAAACACACCTTGATGTCAAAGTTACTGTGCAACAGCAAATTGCACTCAGAGAAAGCAGTGAGAATATGTGTGGGCAACAGCTCTGCAGACACCAAGGCTGGTGTGGAAGGGTGGGGAGAAGGTGCTCCAGGTGCCA